TGCTACGGGCAGTCATCCTCATCTAAGGGCAGGGAGGAAAGTCCTTGCTCTCCACACTCCTTGGAATATTTTTATCCTTCTGGTTTTTGTTTGTTTTTTTGTTTGTTTGTTCATGGTTTTTTTACGATTTTTTTTTTTTAAGGACAAAAAGCTGCCTTCTTTTGCAGTGATGGATAGTATGACAAAAGTTAAACTACTTTGCTTCTACTACCCCACACAGAAAAGAAATGCTCAAATTAACATTGAGCCTTTCACACATGCAAGGTCAGTGTAGTTTTGTAGGACAGAAAGTGTTTTTGGTTGAGCACAGATGACAGATTTAGGGCTGCTTGTATTACAAGGTAAATAATACAACAAAGTACTCGAAAAAGGTCTGTTAGATCATTCTTTCCAGTAAGTAATTAATTTAATCTAATTTCCCGGGAAATACAGTGCTCTGAACCCTAACATTCATCGACCAGCGTTTAGCAGTAAATAAAGCAATCCCATTCCTAAATCAGAATATCAATTTTGAGCCTGACATGATTGAACTGTAGCTGATTTGCATTAATTACAGAAATACCATTGTGGTACATTTTCAAACAAGCTTAGAGGACCTTTTTCTTGGCTGCCTGAAGGTAATGTAGGACCACACTGCTGCCAAAAGCAGTGCTCCTGCTGCAGATCTGGTGCCTTGCATTAGTGATCACATAGCTGCTGACCTGGCTGAGAACTGTACAGCAGGAGCTGAGCCAATCCCACCCTCTGCACCATCATTTATCCATTAGTGTCAATGTAAGGAAATATGTAGCCTGGGCAGGACAGGGGTAAGACTGGATCACCTCCTTCGCAGGCTTAAGTCACCTGGGAAACTTCCCCTGAGGTTCTGAATGATAGCAAATGACAGAAACTCATTAAGACCAAAGGAGAAGAAAATTATTATATTCCTTTTTTTTTTCTTAATGAATATCAAAAATATAATTCCACAAAAGCAGACTCAAGTGTAAGCATTGTTTCAAAGGCACAGCACTTCTAAAGAGACTAGAATTTTCCATTATCTTTAGGCTCCTTATTCACTTCAGTCCTTAAGTCTCTGGCCCAAAGGTGGCTTGTGCATGAGCCCAAAGTTGACTGTTTTTTGTGACTTCACCAATGACAACTGAGTCTTCTTCACAGACACTTGCACCAGGCCTGCACCACGACCTTTCGTCTCACCAACCCTTCCACGTGATCCACTGTGTGCAACCCTGTGCCGAGAGATGCAGATATTTTCTTTCTGCATAAGGTGCTGATTGTTTTTTGGTTGGTTTCACAGCGATAGAAAATACTAAGTTGGTCATGTTAGTCCACAGTTAAAAAAAATAATTGTAAGAACGACTCGCATACGTATCAAAAAGCTTGTGTTAAGCCACTGTAACCGTGGTGTCCATACGGCAGAGCTGTCATCTCTGTACACTCAGCAAAAGAGAAGCTTCAACACTCTTCAGTCAGGCTGGAGGAGTGATGTGTTAATCCGCTCCCATTAAAAAGACAGCAAATTCCCAGTTGATCACCTGATTCAAATTAAGCACGTGTAATCTCGAGGTGGCACTCACAGTGGTGTTAACGTAATGCGTACATAGAGATTGACAGGATGAAGTGTCCTAAGGAATGCTCAGCTTCCAACAGTAATGTCATGTAGGCACTCTGAATTTTAATGTGGGTCATTACGACCCAACTCCTGTAGTCACTGTTCTAAAGGCAGAGCCTTTTAACTGTCGGTCTTCTGCAAGCTACACAAGGGGTGTAGGCAATGTTACAGGTTTTCTAGTTCATGGCAGGAAGGGGGAGTCCCATCAGAGTCCACCATGGAGGTATACTTTATTGGAGGTGGTGGTGGCTTGAAAGATGGAGGTCTGTTCATACTGAAATAGAGGAGAAAAAATGCACTATCACACAAAAACTGCATAAAAGACTGATGTAAAATGATCACAGGAGGGGGTAGATTGACACTAAGAGCACCTGACATTAGCTTTTACATAGTGCAACTTCCCTGATTCTGTTTTATAACCCCAGCACACCTCCTGGTATTCATTTGGCTTTCTCAGCTCACACTTCACAATTTTACTTTATTCATGTTTTAAAAGAACAGAACATAGTTCTGATGAACCATTCAAAACCAGAGGTCTTTTGCTCACACTTCTCTCTGAAGGTATATTTAATGACTTGCAACTTCTTTTGGGGTCAGTTTATAAGCCAAGATAAATAAAGGTCCCATCCCAAATCATTGAAAAAAATCAACCCTATTTTTCCCTTCTGTATACAGGATTTGTAGTTGTGTTTCGAAAGGGTTTTCCAGAATTATAAGTGATTCATTTTCACCACGAATTTTCCAACATTTTAATAATGTTAGTCAGATTAAAAATAATTGTCTCTTAGATACTACTTTTACCAGTAGATCTCTGAGTGTGTTAGTAGGGAATTAAACTTTGGTCATAATTACAAATTCAATGCTTCTTTGACTGGGATTAAGTTTCAGGTAGCCTACTTTCACATATATTATTCACAACTCAAATAGAGCTGCCGTAGAAGTACAATTTCATTAAAACATGTCCTCAAGTCACCATGGAAAATGAGAGAGCAAAAGCAGCTGGCAGGGAGGCTAATAGAAGTGGGGGACTCTGGGGACAAAAATTGACTGTTATTCTTCCCTTACACCCTGAAGCTGCACTGCAGCTCTTTTCTTAAAGTTTATTTTAAAGATAACCCACAAAACAGATGAAAGGACTGAAAACACTCCACTTTTCATATTGCTGTATGAAAAAAATAGCATTACCAATCCATGTACTTAAAGGCCTTGTGTGCTGTGAGTCATCTCAAATGAAAAGGTGTAAATCCAAACAGCTGGGTTAGAGTTTGTGCTGTCCATTGTGCCACGCCTCCCACCCCTGTGGCTCCCCTCACTTGTACTTACATCTCTTTCTGGTACTGACACCATTTCCTGACGCCCACAGCTATTAGAGAACTGCAGAAGAGGAGCAGGACGGCCACCACTGTTGGCCAGGGGAAGTGACTGGTGTTTGTGTTCCTCTCAGCACCTGTAGGGGACACACCAATCAGAGCTCATCCCAATATCCTCAGAGAGGAGGGAAATCTGGGCTTGCTGCCTGCAGCTTGTTGCTCCCCCCAGCACAGTACTGGTGTCAGTACAGCCCCAAAATTACCACCACACTGTCACGTTCCCAGCCTGAGGATTCCAAACTCTGGGTGTTGCAGCTCTGATTTATGGACTTAACCCACTTTTGTTCTGACTGGGTTTGTGAGCTGGTTTCAGCCACCCATCAGTTCACATGATGAGATTATTCAGGCACAGTCCAGCAAGTGTTTCATCCAAAACCCACTGGCTTTCTCTGTCCCCCTGTGAGCTTCTCTGTGAAGAGGAAGCAATTCACAGTGCAGCTGGGCACAGCTACCCACCACAGCTGTCCTTCCCAGGGGTTTATTTTTCACACCACTGACACCAAACCCTGCCAAAATGTCTGGCCAAGGGCTCAGTTGCATTTTTGGTGACACAGCATCCCTGTCCCTGCTCCATTCCAACTGCCTCTCCCCACCACAGTGCTTGGATTCCTCCCCTGCCCCCTGCTGCACAGCCACCCTTGGGGGTGCTGTTGGCTGACAGAGGTGTCCTCAGGGTCCTGGGTATGGAAGAGGAGAGAAGGAGCACAGTTACTCCTCCAGCTGCTGCAGAGGGTGCAGCAGTGGTCTGGGTGCCAGAGGGGGCTGGAGCACAAGGTCCCTGGGTGATACACCTCGGTGTCACCTCCCTGTTCATCACACCCCTGTGCAAGGCTGGCTGTACTGGTACGTCACCCAGCCTGGGTCTTACCCACTGTGGCAGCCAGTGCTGTGGCCTGGCACCAAGTCTACCACACTGCATGAGCCATGAGATTTCCCAGGGGCACAAGAGCGTGACTGGCCAAATTTTGCTGCTGGAAGAAAACGTGCACTGCATGTTTGCTTGCATTTGGAGGGAGAAGGCTGGAATGCCAAAAGCCTGTGACAGGCTGCGGTGTGAAGACACAGCAGCTGTGACTCCTTTTCATCTCTTTTCCCTTTTTTGAAATCCCCTGGTCAAATGGACATGATGCTCCAGGTTTTGTGCTTCTGCAATGGCATGCTGAAAGAAGAGGATTTGTAGGATAATGTCTCACCAGTACTGTTGAGCAGGCTGCTGGTAGTAAAGAAATCTTTCCCTCCTGTAGCTGAAATTGTCTGGTCTGTGACACTGTAGGACAGATTACCTAAAAAGACATGGGCACAGAACATTTTTAGTAACTTCTTCAGGTGTTTTAAAATGAAGACTGTCTTTTGAACCCACTGTTATTCACCCTGCAGAAAACTGGAAATCAAATTCCAGGATCAGGGTGTCAAAATTTGATAAAAGCACATTTTTTATCTAACACCACGTTTTAGGCCAAGAATCTAGGCATCTTACCAAGATTTTTGGCCTAAAACCTGGTGTTAGATAAAAAATGTACTTTTATCAAATTAAAGAACATTAGAAGAAAAGGAAGGAAGGAAGCCGGGAGAGAAAGAAAGAGAGAAAGAGAGAAAGAAAGGAAGAAAGGAAGAAAGAAAGGGAGAAAGAAAACACCTTTTAAAATGTTACAGCAAGCCAGCATTGAGCTGTGCTGTGGTCTAGGAGAATGATAAGCTCTCTATGTCTTTGATGGTAATGAAAAACCTAAAGATATTAAGTGGCTTAGCAGCAGCACAAAGAGTCTGCCTTTGTCACAACTAAGCAAAACCTCAGTCTCCTCTGTCAAGTGCTGTGTCTGAACCACAAAAATAATCTATCATCTGTTTGTAGGCAGTATTTTGCCCTTCCTAATACAGCTAAGCTACCTATGTCTGAATCAGTGCTGCCTAAGGATACATTTCTGTTTTTTCTAGCCACCTCCATATTCACAGCTTCTGAAATAATACCTAAAATATGCAACTAGACAATGGGACAGCATTTCCAGAGGTGCCACGGCAGTTATGGTGTGCCAGGGTTGTATTCTCAGAGGAGTGTGTGGCATTCCTGAGGCTTTGTGGAGATTCTGTGGTGGAATCATTCAAATTTGTACAAAAAGAAATAATGTCCTTCAATTTTCTTCCAAACCTGCACCTATGACTGCTTCATTAGGCTCAGCTGTGGCTATTTTGTACTCTTAGCCTTTCTCTGATGCAAACAACAAATGAAATAACAAAGGAACCTGAAAGTCTCTGGTATAATTGCTGATTTACAAATCCAAGAAAAAAACCAAAAACACTGTTTAAGTTATATGAATGAAACATCAGACAGAACCAGGAAAATCTTTTTCTTATTAGATGCTGGCTTTGATTGAAATTGAACACTGAAGTGTATGTGTTTGTGAATATATATATTACTATATATATTATAACTTAATATATATATATACTATATATATATATATACATATATATGTAGGTATGTATGCATGTATGCAGTAAAAAGCCCTATGAAAATCTGTCCAAATTTAGGGCACTCTAAGAAGTCATTGAGACTTTTGGATATTAATTCAATTCTTTTCTTCTTGCTTATTAGGTGTTTAATTTAATGAGAATAAGCATGACAGATCTTGCTTATTACTGGCAAAGTTATATATATATTAAAAAAAAAAAGACATACACTAAGAGATTCCTTAGCACTGTGCTCTGTACAGCACACTGATGAGCACTACTTATTCTTATTTACATAATGGCTTGTGTTAGAGCCTCAGAGGACTGAAATGATAATGGTAATCGCTGTTGTAGGAGCCCAGTGGCCCTGGGAGGGCACAGGGATGCATGTTGGTATGCCTCAGCAGGCTCACTGGTGCCTCTGTGCTCTGAAATTACCCTCAATTACAGCTGCTGGACTGAGGACCCTTCAAGGCCATTATGTCTTAGCCGGTGGTCAGGCAGGCACAGATGTAGGGAAGCAATAGCAGGGATGTGGGGATGACCGGTGCAATGCACAGTATATCCTGCAAGTATTAGTGTAATTCAGCATGCTTTTAGCAAAGATTGCCACCAGCAAGCTGTGCAAGAGCGGAATTGTGAAGCATTAGAAGTTGTCACGAGGTTGTGGTCTAAATGTGTGGTTGTGGGTTGTACGTGGGTAAATAAGCACTGGAGTGTTACCAAAAATATATTCAGAAAATGGAAAGCGGCTGCTACATTTGCACTTCAGCCAAAAGATGACTCCCATGCAAATGCAAAAGCTCACTTACAGTTCCTGCCTGCTCCAAAAGCACAAGGACAAACCAAGATTTTAAAAAAGAAAGTCACTTTGGGCTTCTTGCTGCTGACTGCTGAGCAGAGATTTTCTAAAGGGAAAGACTTCTGAAAAAATGTTCACCTTAGGGTTTCTTTTTAATTGATTTATTGATCTTTAATGAGGCTGCCTTTCAATGTTCTATTAGGCAGCCTTTATTGCTCCACATTATCTCATTATTTCATTGCTACTCTGAGATTTTATTTAGCTTCTCTGGCAATTTATTTCATCTATAAACTACCTTCAGTACTTACTACATTTGCCTAGCAACTCTCTCAATTGTAATATTGTTAAAATAAATATGTCTATTGAAACCAGGATACTCAAACGTTTTTTCATTCCTCTTTTGCCGCTGCAAATCCTTGACAGCTTGGAAACTTGGGCTTTTATCTTCTAACTCAGCGGAATTCAACAGGGAAATTGTTTCTGTGAAGTATTGAAAAGCTGGTACAGATGACTCCACCTGACTTTTGGCCTCTGCTCAGACACAACTTTTCCATGTTTAGTAATAATTTTTGCATGGCAATGTGGTGACTATCAACTAGCAGCTGAAAATAAGCACCACAGGGAATGGTATCTCGGGAAAGGTATCTCGAACTGAGGACCTGAGGACCTGCTGCTCTACTTTTTGCAAGATGCTCCAGGCTACTGTAGATTTGCAATCCAATGCTCACATTTTCACTTTGTGCCACATTTTCACTTTGCAGCCCCCATAGTTGGCTTCATAACTCCCCTGTTACAGTCCTAAGAAGCAAAGGAGACAGATCATCTACTCACGTGCTGCTGTCAGACTCTCACTTAATGCTGCGGCGCTGGTGTAGCTTTTTGTCTCTGCATTAAAAGCCAGTGCTCCTGCTGAAAAACACACAAGCTTGTAAAAATTGCTGTAGGGAACCATAATGCTTGTTTTTCATTTTCCCTGTCTTTCTTCCCTGTTTCCTGACTAATAAGGTCAAACAGTTGTAGCCCACTACTTGAGATGCTGGCTTCCCTCACATAAGCACTACATAACTCCATGTCTTCTTTGAAAGCCTATCACAAGCTAGAACCTCGACTGAGATAGATGAATAAACTTTGACAAAACATTTGGAGCATTTTTGTATTTCAGCATAGTTTCAAGTGAAGCTCTATAGATTGGAGTTCACTGGCTTGTTTCGTCCTGAAGCCAGAGCAGCGACAAACAAACATACATAAATCAGAATCTAGACAGGATGTCACCAGCTCCAGGGAAACAAAACTGTTTTCCCAACTAGCAAAGGGAAGTTTTGAAAAAGTTAGTGTACAGGTGTCAAACCTGCAATGTCTGATGCCAAAAGCCAATTTATTTAATATTTTCCTTTAAGCTTTTTTTTTTAAGTGCTAAGATTTCTAGAGCTCAGCTAGCTATTTATCTGATATTTACACACAGATGGTGGCTAGCAAGTAGACCTCTATTTTCCCAAAAGAACTATATTACATTTACTAAAAAGAGTTCATCTTTCTTAACAACTGTCTCATTTTTGGAAAAAAAAATATCATTAAGCCATCTAAACAAACCCAAGAAGGTGAAATGCAGCTGTAACCCATCACTCGAAGCCTGAGCTTCTCTGTGCTCAGACATAGAGCTATCATGGAAGCTAAGCAAAGTCCAGGCTGCAGTTTTAACAGCCTTGGTTTTGCTTTCCCTGCTCCTGCCCTTGCCTCTCTATGTCCACTCTTCCCTCGAATCCGTTCCCAGCTGTCTCTTAGATTTTCATTAAAAACTTGCAAAATAGCAGGAACTGAACCAAACCAGTAGACTGAAATGGCAGGCCTGGACTTGGCATCCTGACTCAGCTGCAGCTCAGAGGATTTGCTCAAGTAGCTGATGGTGGCACAAATGTGAGAACCAGCAGTGAGCCAGAGAGGAGAAGCACCAATCCAAGGCTGGCACACTGCAACTGCCACGTGTTGGGAGCATTCATTAAAAGGCAGTTGTTTCCTGGCCTACTTACAGAAGAAAAATGGCTCAGCTCCACCTTACATTATGACTTTTACCTTGAACCTCCTCAATCAGCGAAGATGTGTAATTCAGCTAGGAGAATCTTCTCTGTTCACATTGTATATTTATAGCCTTTGTCATTAAATTTTTTGTTGAGACAGAAGGGCTTTCAGTCCACTTGGACAAGCAACTTTGCTGTTCTGCTCTCAGCCAGGCAAGGGTCTCTGTTTTGGGGATGGGGACAGCAGCATGAGAAGCAGCAAACTTTCATTTCAGTGCCACTGCAGTCTGTGTTCCTGCCTTGGCATATCTCTGTCTAGCCTCTTTGTGCCCCCGGGCTTTATGCTGAGTGATTCAACTCCAAACACAAGGAAGCCCTGTGTTTGGTGTCTTCCTCCAGTATTACCCCCAACTGCTGCCCTTCACATTGCTCTCTTATCTCTGCTAGAGAGTAACTTTAAGGTTTGAGGTTACTTTAAGGGAGGGTTGCAGGATTGAATTTACACAGCCCAAGGAGAATAGTCAATGCCCCACAGGCTCATAAAAGTCTGTTGCACTCAAATTTTTTTTTGTTTGGGAGAACAAGGCTTCTGCAAATACTAAGGGCCAAATCCACTCTTGCTGGTGGCTACCTCAGTGGTGCATCATTCCTGACCCAAAGCTATGGTGCTGTTAAGGAGAGGAACAACAACTTGCCATTTTGCCTCCTCCTTGTGCTGTCTGCACTGCTGTTTTGCATGTGCTTCTTTGTCTAAAATGAAGAGTGTGTGCCATGTGTGTGTTCAGTCAGGAGCTGTGGCAGTGAGCACACCTCTCCTTGCTGCCAGTGAGGGCTGCCCCAGCACCCTTCTATCTGCTGCTTAAAACCAGCCAGTCCTACAGGGATCAACAGCTGGGCTTCAAAAGAGACTTTAAAGAAAAGAGTGCTTGCAGACAGGCTGTGCTGCGAGAAAATGCACTCTGCTGTGTCTGGTGGGCATTAACGCTGTATTTTGAGATCAGAAGGTAGGAGGTTCTCAGCTTTACCTGCTCTTGATTCAGGCTGCTGCTGCACTGTCCAGCCCACTGGTTTAACCTCTCCCTTGGCAAGAGAGGTTAAACCCTTCCAAGTGTTACTCTGCCCTCCACTGGCCTTGGTGTTGCCAGCCTAAGGAAGAAATTACCTGTTGTAAACATTTTGTTTATTGTTGCTTTGTATTTGGACTTCTGTGCTCTGATGTTTGGGTTACACTTTTTCTAGCTCTAATCTAATTCTATTTTGGTATGACCTTTAATTAAAGAAAATAGGTATTCCTTGTAAATAATATAATATAATAACACTAATTAATATATACTCGATGTCAATTCAGTTGCCAAATTTAGTGCACATATCCTAAATGGAGCATTAAAAAAGATAAAATCACTAAAGCATTTTCTCATATATTTACTTTTGAACTGTGGTTATACTGACTGTGGTTACTGTACCTCCTAGCATATAATCCACTAGGAAAAGGGCTTCAGGAGACAGTAAATTGTTTGCTACAAAAAAAGCAAGATGGTTATTGTGCTTATGTGTTTTTCTCCTACATTGTTGAAGCAATAGAGAAAACATTTTGGCTTAATTGATTACCTTGTGTTATGGAAGCAGGAGCCAAGTTTGCTTGACTTGTGAAATCCAGAGAGGCCAAAGATGTTGACTGGGGCTCTAAAGACAAACAGATTACATGGTATCACATTTAGCTGATAGGTTTTTTAGAAAATAATATTAATAAATCACAAAACAGCCTAGATCAAAGCTTGCGGCAGCTGTTGGGTAAATGCAGACTCTGCAGCAGAAATCCTGCTGTCAGACTTAAGGCTAAATGCTCAAACACATCCCACAAATTCAGGGGGCACTCACAGATGGCTGATGTTATTAATACTGGCCCTTTCCCGTGAGCTGGCTGGAGACATTACTTATTTATGTTTTTATACACAGGGTACAGTTTAACTGCTGTGGGGTGGATCATGCATTTGATGGTGGTGCTCCCCCATTTATCCAGAGCCTTTCCAGAAATGGTCCATGACAAGATGCCACAGCCACATAAGCCAAGGAGATCACCTGCGGGTTTTCCTCTCGGTTGCTGAAGAGAGTTTTATGTAGTTACCCATGTGCACGCTCTGGTAAAACAGAGTTAGCTATCTTACATAACTAATGAAGGGGAATGATGTGCTGCTCTTGGGTCAAGGAAAAGTGGTGGCTTTAACTTTTCTATCACACGCACCTCTCTGTCATAATAGGACAAATTTATTTACAGTTCTATAGGCAGAATATTCCATTTTATAAAAATGCATAAAAATAACGCAATATTCAGGATGCTGTTTTACATGCTGTCCTAACGTGACAGTTTTAGTAAGATTTCTGTTGGATCTCTGCTTGAATGACTTCACAGCTCGCAAATTCCCATCCAGCAGGACACGGGTACCGTCAGTACCAGAGCACACTGACCTTTCCCTGGCACATCTCTGGCCCTGTGTACATGACATTTAAGCAGTGGTCAATATACATATATTGTATAATGAAGGCTTCTATTTTATCCTCCTTACCTGAGGCAGTCATGACAGCTGATGTAAGTGTTGAATTACCAAGGTCTATAACAAATCAAAACAAACAGCATAAGGAAGGTGTTTGTTCTGCTTTAGGAAAGTGGGCGATTCAAAGGTTCAAGAGTGAGAAAGTACATCACACTTAATTTCCAAATAATCTTTCAATGCACAACTCAGCTAAGTGGTCTGGAGAGAAACATGAAGCATCTGAGGTAACTGTGCTGTGAAATCCCTAGGGAAACAAAGGTTTTTGGGGAAAAATTTTGGAGCCCCTGGCACCTCAACTTAAGAAGCACAAGTGAATCACATGGGTTTATTCCATTCAAAGAGATGCACCTTATTAGCACAGATGTTGAAATAACAAATATGAGCTGGTGGTGGCACCTGCACAGCTCCATCCACGAGGCACTTTGGAGGCTGTAACTCTTGACAGGAAATTTCAGAGACCCTTTGCACTGAAAAGTGCTCACTGAGTCCTCAGAGAAGAGGAGGGGGAGTTATTCCTTGTAATTAAAGAACTGTTAACCACCCAGACAAGTGCAGCAGAGACACCATCCTGCCCAAGCAGCATTTATGTCCTAAGTAAGAGATCTCTCACTTCTCTCAGTATTTTTTTTCCCCAGGAGAAGAGGCAAAGTAATCCCTGAGTAGGTTAGGAGGATGGATTATGTCTCCCCAAAGGGTTTCATGAAGGACATAATCTATGGAAGCTCACACACCCCATTAGAAAAACACATCTGGGAAGGCAGCCAGAGGTACCTACCTCTGTATGGTTGGGCACATGTGGTGGGCACTGCGTGGGAGCAACCCTCTGCAGATCAGATCTTAGCAAAAGCAGGTAACTATCAACTCTCCAGCTGCTTTTCTGTGCAAGCACTTGTACCTCCTTTGGCTGTTGCTTTTCCATTTCCATTTCATCTTAGCCTCGCCTGCACTAGCAGGGATTTTGCAGTAGCTGGCTGACATAAAGGACTCCTTAGCAAAGGTGCAGCAGGTCAGAAAACCTGGGCAGTGGGCACCTTGAGGTGTGCCCAGCTCCCAGGGACTTTATGCAGAGTGTGCAAGATGAAGAAGAATGGTGACCTGATGCAAGCTGCCAGGGTTCCTGTGAGATATCACCTTGCAGAGGCCAGTGGAAAACAAAGTCTCTCTCTCAGGGCCCCCCAGTGACTGGGATGACTTTCTAGTGTGCAGTGGGGTATTAGCTGAACCCCCAGAGCTTGCCACAACCTGCACTTGTAGAAGTTTTTACACAGAAACCCACACTTCTTTTCATGCCATCTGTCTACAGCATTTCTCTGACACACTCACGTAACCCACTGCTGAAGTGCAGCTGCCTCCCACGAGGAGCAGAACAAACTGCTCCAGGACAGATGTCTCCAAAGGGCTTCAGCTGAGGTGTGGACGGAACATTTATCTGTCTGCAATAAGCTGATAATAAGACAAACTTGCAGGGGCAGAGCACAGATTTACCACATTTACACAAATTAAGAAACATTCTATCAGTTCTTTAATTAGGCAAAAGTGTTGAGGATCTTGGCTGTGTACTTAAGCAGAAGGTAGAACCGTTAACAGGGCTGTTATTTTTAATTATTACTTCAGTGTTGAAAGAGCTTTATTCAAATGCCAGCTGAAGCATCAGAAATAACATTATGTGCCCCTCAAGGCTGGAGTTTAATTATGCTTGGTCTTAATTATGATAGATTACATCACCAAAATATCTGTGTATTGTATTTTCTCTGAAATCATAGCTGCAGGAAGGGGTTTCTTGGTGTAGTAAGTGTTACAACAACTTCAGGAATTTATAGATTCCTCTAACACAACCCAAGTTATTTTATTCTTAATTTATCCTACCTTCTGAAACCATGGTGGGAAAAACTTCAGGTGAAGCTTCATTAGACTTATTGTCTGTGAATAAAAAAAAGAGAAAGATGAAACCAGTTCTTTAAAGTAATTATAAAGGCTGAGAATTTAGTTTAGGTTTGTGTCATACTGTGCACCTTCACAGAAGGCATGGCTGAGAATTAATGTGATTCTTTCCTTTCTGTCATATCTAAATACATTAATGTTTTTATACAGAGTGGATCTATCTTGGCATTAGCATAACCTGCAGGCAAGAACTTAGACTGCTTTAATTGATGGCTCTCCAATTTGAAGATATTTCTACAAAACTACAAATTGGGTGAAATGAGTAATTTTGGAGAAAAGGGTGATTTATCTCCCTTCCCTCTGAAGCTATATTTCCAGAGGATTCAGCTCTGGCTTTTGATGCAGTCTTACTTTGTGGAAAAACATACCAATAAGCATATCCACAGCCACAAGTGAACATAGCTGAGATGCAAGCAGTTGCCAAGGTACATGATGTACCAGCAGATGCTGCTAAGGGGTCAGCAGCTCAGTCCTGTTGTCTGTGCAGCAAGGATCATAATAACAATAATAAAAATAATAAAAAAGTGTCACTATGCATTTGCACCTGAGGAGGAGACATGAACAAGAGGGTGCTAAAGGAAATCTGTCAGATCTTCTCACCAGCCCCCCTGCATTCTCAGAAGTGCCAAAACCGTCTGTAATGTTGAGTCTCCCGCTTTCACCAGAAGAGCAGGACAGCATGTATACCCACTTCCCTAACCATGTAGCTAATCCTTATGGTACAGATTACAGGGGAGTTTCTCCATTGTCCAAAATGGTTCAACCTTTTGCAAGTTTCACTGAAGATGTATAACACAGCCCTGATCTGAGGGTTTGGATTTCCAGAGAGCTGCACTGCACACATGCAGACTTTTTGCCACAAATGCTCAGTGGGAAACACATGATTATAATAGCTCACTGGTCCGTGTGGCTATGCTAATCTATTTTTGGATATGGGAAGTACAGCAAGACACTGCCTAAACAAACAGCAAGCATCTTCTGTTTGTGCAGGAGTTTCTTAGCTCATTTAGAGGCTTAAGCAAAGACTTGAGCTAAAAAACCTGCCAGAAAGTTCAAGCTGTGAGATGAACTTGTACAATAAAGCTTCCATACTCTTGGTATTTCTTCAGTATTTTAAATAACAGTGAATACATGTGCTTGGTGTTCTTAAGATCTCAGATGTGTTTCATCTATGAAAAACCTACCAAATGAAACAAATATTTCTTCCGATGAAATATTCCATATTTCACTCCCGAGGGAAGGAAACAGACATGCACATGAGAATGTCTTATGTGTCTCTTGGGTCCCTTGCAGCATCAGCGTTGACCTCATCTGATAGAAACCTTCACTGTCTTGCAAATCTTCTTGTACAACAGGAATTTCTTGGGGAAAAAAGAAAAAGGCCCTCTCGTTCACTCCAGATCATAAATCAAAACTGTGCATAATATTGGTACTGAAAACAGGCTCATATAGATGCAGGTTTCTTTGCTGAGACACTACCAAAGATCTGTCAAGAACAGTGTGGTTATACCAAACCATGGTTCCCATCCCTAGCAATTGCAGGGGTCTGTGGTCACAGCCATTTGCCATCTGTTCCCTTTGAGGAGGTCTGACACTCTCCCTTGCACCCAGACAGACTCCTGCAGGCTCCCTGTGGCAGGAAGGGATGAGCAACCATCACTTCTCTTGGGAACCACTTCTACAGCTGTGCCATTGTCCTACTGACAGGTTGCTTTACCTCCAGGCTGCTCCGACAGGTTTGCTCTGTCCACGTACCACACAAGGCTTGGCTTGGGAAACGCCTTCCTCACAACACAGCTCACGCTGGGCTATGGGGCAGGAAAAGGAAGTTATTAGGTTAGACTCCAACATCCTCACCCTGCTGCCAGCTTCCAAATTCCCTTATGGACAGTGCTTGTTAACTCACAATCCTGCTGTGGAAGGACGCACTTCCTTCCTCTTTATTGTGTTTCTTGCCCACTCCCTTCATTTTTCTGGTTGTGGGCAGTGTTGAATGAGAGTCCAGGGACACACCACTGCTCTGGATGAAAAGGCTCCAACCCTCTCTAGCCCTGGCTGTGGCTGGAAAGATGTAGGGTGACCCCCACCCCTCCTGCCTCCAGTGATGAACATCCACATGGAAAAACACTGGAATTGGTAATGGGCAGTGTGTGTATGGAGAGTAAGACACCTTCTGATCACCATGTGAATCCTCCCTTCATTAGGCAGATGGAGAGACAAATCCCATGAAAAAGACTGCCTAGTCTGTTGAATATTCAAAACTAGATACCTTTGTAGTAGGCACAATATGCAAGAGGTTTCCAGAAATTGATGCTTTAGAGGCAGTACTCCTGGCTCTATGCCAATTGCTCCAAAAATCTGTTTTTGTGCTCCATTTAATTTCTCATCAAGCAATAGATGGGAAGAACCTCAAAATCAGGGCTAGATGAAGGGCTGGGCACTAGCAAGGTGGGAGGTCTCATCCTCATACTGCCTGGATGTTCACAATTACATTTATTTAGCAGGTTATGACACTGCTAAGTACTAAGCACTGTTATAAGAGAAATTGCCTTGTCCTTTTAAACAGAAAAAAGGAAAAAGCATGTGCTACTCATGCAGCACAAGGCCCACTCGCTCCCACTTTTGAAGAAAGTGGCTCCCACATTTAGTTGAAAGCAAGCTTGATGTATTACAGCCAGGAGAAGTCAATCATTCAGTAGAAAGACTGAAACTACCCAGCAGAAACTCTTTCCCTGCCATGGTAAATTGTATTGCTTTCCCCTATTTTCTCTTCATTATTCCCTTATTTTTCAGGCACTTTTAGGTCATAATATTTTTATAAATGCTTCCTTATGAAGAAATACAAATCCGATATCCTTACTAGATTTAAGCCCTGCAAGAAAAAGAAGAAAAGAGAAGTAAAGGAGTTGGTGTTTGTTTGGAGATGAAGAACTGACAGAGGAGTTTCTATTGTCCAGTCTCATGATGGCAGCACCCTTGCTCTGTTCAACAGGACTGTGTAGATAAAAGCCTGTAATATCCAACACCACACGTGGAAATAGGTCATCAGGAAAATTATACCAGTCAGTTTTGCAGAACTGACTGACTCATGGCTTGTCTGAAGCAGGTGGATATGGCTAGTGCAAGGTTCTGCCTGCCCACAAGCTCTGTTTCCAAGGAAAACCTTTATTTGGGATGAATGCTCACAGACCAAAAGCTTCAACTTGAAGAGATGGAACAGGAAGCAAAGCAGCCTAGCTAGTAGCCAGAGTGGCTTGCTAGTCAGTCATATGGGCCACAAATATGTTTTATGCCAAGTATGGCCACTGCAGATCTGCAGACCTTTAGGTTTTGCCATTACCAAGCATGTGAGAAAGCAGAGGCCCCAAAACACATGGGTAACTGCTCATCTCTAAATAGGGACTCTCAGATTTAGATCTAGTTGCTCTACTGGCATCTGACTGCCCCAGATGAGATAGGCTTGCAGTGTGATACATTATACCCAACACGATCACCACCTTTTCATCAGCGTGTTAGGCCATGTCTGTGCTCCAAGCATTGTTCCCACAGCACCTGCTCCTCCCTGTCCTAAGGGGGGCTGTGGGGAAGGTAGAGGGTGCCTCTTCCTGACCCCCTGGAGCAGCATCCTGGGTAGCAGGTGACCTTTTTCAGAGAGGGATTTTATGCAGTGTGGAGAGGGCAGCTCGAGATTGTTGGGTAGTAGCCAGCAGATGGGGAGGGAAAGGGAGAATTGCAGCCCCCTGCAAACCACATAGCCTCTTGATCTGTCCTGGAGTCTTCCCCAGGGCTAACATAAAACCAGATTTTGCCCACACATCAGAGAAGCCCTTAGCTTGGTCAAGTTTGTGCTCACCAAAGAAATTCACTGCTGTGAGGATGGAAATTGCTCAGAGGGAAGGGCAGGAACAGCTGACATTAACTCTTTGCCGTGCCCATTGACCTGTGAGCTTTGTCAGTTTGGATGTTCCACCCATGCCTGATTCAGCTCAGCTTGCCTGGCTCTGCTGGGGTGGCACGGTGGCAGTCACAGGCCTTACTCTTTGCTCCAAAATTGCTCACCTTCTGCGAGGTGCCAGCTGAGCCCTCCTGCAGGCTAACAGAGATCTCAGGGTAAGCTGGAAAGCAAACATATATGTATTAGTGAAATGGACACTGAAGATCACAGTAACAGCTTCTAAGAAGACTTAACAGCCTTGTTTCATAAAAAGAGTTGAAATTAAATCCTAACCCCACCCACACAAGTAGCAAGATAAAAGCTTGCACAGCTGCAATTTGAGGTCAAGGAAGTGGTTTACAAGCACAGATCAGCAGCTACTGCCACAGGATTCATGATGTGTTTCAGTGTCTATCTAAACTACTCTAGGGTGGCTTTGCTGGGGAAACAAGATGAAAGCATCCTGCAGTCACAGCTCCGGCAGCAGAGTCACCCTTCCTGGGCCTGATGAAATGAAACACACCCCGGTTGTTGGTTCCTCTGGGTGCTTGCCAATCAAAGTCATCTCCAAAGGCTTCAGCCATCTCCAAAAACATTGATTGGTTTTGGGTACCAGCCACCCACGTGCTGTCACCTGGACAGACGTGTGGCAGTGTCACACCACAGATGCTTCCTGCCTTGCCAGGAAGCCCAGAGCTCACCTTCACATCAGAGCAGCAGGCTGTGGATGACCACATCCACATGAAATGGAAAAAGTGTTTTCTTTTTGCAGCATGTTGGTTCTGGGTGAAGTTGACTGTACAAATTAAAGCTATCAGGTACTGTAAACCTTTCTAAGTGGGCATTTCTAAAGTAGCCATCGGAATCCCTGCTTTGGAGTAATATTAACTGACTTGTTAAGTAAGGACTGTTGAAACTGTGTTAATATATTAAAAACTCTCAAAAGCCTCAGGTAAATTGTACTTCTGGCCTTTTCTGAGCCTTGAAACTGGAGTGGAAACAAGTGCTGCCCCTGGATTTGTTAGGAGATCAGTAATTCTTTCTCTTTCCAACTTAAACCTCACTTTATTCTCTACCATTAAGATACTTTCCTCTTTTTTCTTACCCTGTTATATTCCCTTACATTCCCCTCTGAGCTGAACTGCTCAAGTTTCTCTCTTGTATTATATGGCTAATCCTCTAAGGACTCTCCTGACTTCTTTTTTTTCTTTTAATTTCCACTTTTCTGCTTAATGTTACTGACGGATTATGCCTGGTCATGACCTGTATTTAATTATCGTAGCCTTATGGTTTTTTGGACTCAGGGTACTTTTGGATGAAGTTTCCTTTTTTTTTTTTTTTTAATATTTTTTCCTTGGTTTTGCTCTTTACTCATTTGTTTTGTTTTGTTTTGGGAGGTAGGTTGGTAGATTCTTCCTATCAGAAAATGAATGTATTAAGATTTCCTTCTTGTTTCTGCCTTGCCAAAACTGTACAGATGGTCGTGGAGCTGGCAGAAGACAAGCATACTTTTTCAGATGTTAGAAAAAGTCTGATAAACTAGATCTTCTAATCTCAGCAAAAAGTTGCCTGGGAGACTAAATGATGTCTAGTCTAGTGCATGCTCTCTTTGTTTTTTGATGAGAACAGGCACACTTTTCCACATCTGCATTGGATGCTGTCTTCTGCTTTTTCAGAAGGCATATTTGCTGGGTAACTCTCATGCATAGCTCTCATGCATAGCTCTGAATAATCTAATAGATCTTTTGCAATTAACATCTTAGCCTCTGTTAACATTTTGACGTTCACTTGCCTTGCTAGGATATTTACCAATGTTTTGTATCTAGTGGAAATTCAATATTTAGTTCAGTAGTTTCTGTGGTTGAGCTTTTACTGTTACAAAAAGGGAAAATCAATATTTGGTGAAGTTGGACTTGAAAAGGCCGTATGTTTTCTGAGAAACTTGTATCTAAAGAACTCTGTCCTAGAAAAGAAATATTTTAAAGTATTTCAGTCCAAAAGTACCCCCTTAAAAAAAGCTCTCTTTTTCAAACATCTGTCTTTACTCAACTTATGAAGACTCTCAACTTCATTGAGAGACTTTTTCAGGCCTTTCCCATCCTCTCCTGCCCAGCTCTCAACTGTGAGGAATTGCCACTTCACTGCCCCTCAGACTTGGTCTGTCTCTGCTGTGTTTAGCCCTGCCTGAAGCATTTGTCAGAGTGATCCTGCACAAGGAGCTTTCTGCAGGTAACATCACCTGCCCTCTCCCCTGTTTCATAACACCCAGCCCATGGGGTTCAATTGCAGGAGTGTTTGGGTGACAGGGGGATTGCCAAGATGGAAAAATCTCCCCAGGTTTCAGTTGGGCTTTGCTCTCTAGCTGTGTCCTTGCTAATGGCCAAGACAACAGATATAACCAATATAATGTGCTGTTGATGCTGTATACACATACTATCTCTAGATTCTGTCCCAGCCATTTGAGGCTGGATCTAACTGTTAGGACATAAAAGTTCATTTCTTTATTCCCTGGTAAGCACAAGGAAAAAGAGAAGGGTTCTCATCTGAAAAGGCTCTTTGTCCCCAGATGTCACCAAGAGAGTGCTGGATTATTCTGGCCACTGTCTCTGCCTATTCTGCCCTGCCAGTGGTGCACAGGTATGTGTGATGGTGCAGGGGAGGCTCTAAACCCTCTGCTCTTGGCCTCACATCCTGCTGCAGGACAAGAGAGGTAAATGGAGAAAGGCTGGTATGATGCAATCATAAGCAGCATGACTTCAGGGAATAGTAACAGAAAAGAGTGAGACCGGATGCAAAATAGTTATTTTACCTGCAAAATATCAGATGTAGAAGGGCTAGGAGCACAAAACCACACTTCCTCCGAGATGTGGACTCTATTTCCTTGAAGTCTGAGAGACTTTCCTTTAGCACCCACTACAAACCTCAAGGCTCTCAGGGAGCCCCTGCACCTAACCCTGCCCTCAGGACCCCTGTGGGAGAGGCTGACAGCACAGCACCCTCAAAGCCAGCCAGCACTTACTGGGAAATACATGGGCTGTTCACCACCAAGAGCCACAATTGCCTTCTCTTGTTTGCCTCTCTACCCTGTTGTGCTAGTATGTTGATGTGGGCGCACGCACAGACAAGCACACACCTCACAGTAATTCTGGGAAAATCCAAATAAAGCAACCTCTTAGGCTAACAGACACAGAAATCAAGGTGAGAGCATCAGCAGTGATGGAGGGGAGGGAGAGTTCAAGTATGTTAGTATACTTGAACAATTACCCAGGTAACACTGTCGCTATTTGACAAATGTCAATATTTTAAAATAAAACCCGTGTCTGAATCATGCAAACGCAAGAGGGGATTTCAGATCATTAACTTCTATTTTTATTTCTTTTACATCAGTGACTAACAGCCCCCAGACATATTTTTCTTTTTTTTTTTTTTGCTGCTCCCTGTTGAACCTTCCTGTTTATTCAGAGAATCAGCCTCATATGGCCATGCCAGCCTCAAGGTGTGGGCTTCCTTGGACAATTAGCTACAGTCAAGGGACTGTTGACAGACCCACTGTTTAACACCCATTCATTTTAGAAGCTTTGGAAATATGTTTTCCAGACCAACTGGTTTATAAACAGAAAACAAAGCCTGGTTTTCAAGTGGGCAGCATTTTTCTGGTTCAATTGTACCTCAGCAATTGTAGAGTAGAGTTTCTAAGCCACTAGAAAGGGAACAGAGCAAGTAATTAAAGATGGGGAAGGTTTCCAGCATGAAATGGCAGCCCACATGTTTGCAGTACAGAGGCTACACCACTCCTGACCAGTTGGAGACTCCCCAGCCAGGACCCTCATTTCCAGAGCCAGAGTGTTCGGCAGCAGTTTAATATCACATACCTTCGAGGATGTGACTTTGCAACAACAGTAGTTCCAAACTGCTTACTAACTTTTGGCCACGATTTCCTAACCACAGGCAGCATGGTCATTTGGGGCACAGAGATCTTGATGACCTGTAGCCTGCAATCAAAAACCTACACATCAGGGGAAGATAATGGCCATGTGCCTGCCAGTGGGGGTGATATATGTGCAACGAATCTACTGTTTTTTAATTCCAGAAACTGAAGGACTTGAAGGAATGGCCTCAAATTCTTCTAAGAACTAAAGGGTTATTTTCTAGCATTTTACCTCGTTGCAACTGAAAAAATTACAATGTAAATATGTTTATCTTAAGAAAAAACAACAAACAGTGTGTTTCAAATTATTGGCTGCAGAACCAGACAGGAGCATTACCCTTCCAAGTGCAAGGAAGCACTTGGCATAAGCCCCTTACCGTATACTCTCACAGTGGTGCTGCTCTTCCGGACTCTCTCTGGGTGAAACACCACGTGGCAGGAAAAGACCCTGCCATCATCAGTGATTTTGATGGGGAAAATCTGTAAAGTGTTGTTCAAAGCCAGGTGGACTCTTTGCCCATACACTGCGCTGCTGTTCCTGTACACAGCAGGACAGGAGGGCTCCTTGGTCACAAGTTCCTCTTTCCTGCCATTGTCACCCTGTGAAAACAAAAACCCACCATATTGTGAAGACTGGACACCCAGAGAGAAAAATATTTTTGTAGGCCAACTCTATTCCCACTAAAAAAATCTTCCCTCTCACCCTTAGCATTTGCAACATTTATTTTTTTTTCCTGAATACATTCTCTCCCAGAATTTCAACACCAAGAGTGGTCATCTTCTTACCAATAAAATATGGAGTAAATAGCTGTGTCTGATGAATCCTGATCTCTGTATCCTGCAGAGAGGACAACAGAGCTGCTTTCTCACTGCACCAGTCTTTAAGTTATGCTGAACATCCCATACATATTAAATACGACTGAAATTTCAGAAAAAACTTTGCTCTTTTAGAATTTTAAATAGCTAGAATCTGATAATACTAACCAAAAGTCATCTCCTTTTATTATCTGTGTGGCAGCCACCCTTAGATATAGGTATAGCCTATAGATAGAGGTACATCTTGGACATCTGTGCCAGTACATATTTGCCAGCTTTACTCTGCATGACACATGGCAATCCACATATGTCATTGTGCTGACCTTTGGGGTTTTTTTCTCCTTTCTTCTGCTACTTTGTAGAGTGAACTAGCAAAACTAAAAATTAGTAAGGACAAGGATGTTCCCTTAAAATTTTAATATTAAGAATGAATCAGGACAAAAGGTTAAAAAACCCAAAATATTTGAAAATCACCTTTAAGAAAACCCTCAACAGTTACAGCTCCTCAGTGACAATGGATATAAATGAACAGGCAAAGCTTAAGGGACTGCTTGCTGATACTTATCTTTATATGCTGAAATGAATGTTAAAAGGTTACATTAAAACATGCTTATAAATATTTATCCAGAGTGAGATAAAGTACAAAAATATAGCAAGCTTTACATCTCACAGCAAATTGCTTTAAAGTAGTTTTTCATGTGCTTAGTTTGACAGCTAGGTTTGCATGTCTTCAGTGGGCATCCGTGACACAGAGGTTAACAAAACCAAAAATATTAGTCAGTACCTTTTTTTATCTCAAAGCAGCTTGATATCTTACTACCCTACACAGTAACCATGTATTTTTCAGATCCTAAAGCCTCACTAGAGAAAAAAAACCCTGAGAAATCCAACACAAGAAATATTTTACTTCTGTTATATTTGCCACTGTCTGTGGCCCTGCTCTGTGTGTGGTCCTGAAAAATTAAAAAAAAATAAAAAAATTCCCTCTTTGTTTCTTTAACAGCTATCATGGTGTGTATGTGGCAAACCCGTGTTTATATTTTTTCCCTTTTTTTATCACAGTCCAATGTGACTGATATGCTTTGTTTAGCAGGTTCTGCAGGACACACTAGAGTAGAACATTTCTGTTTCAGTCTGCAGAAATACCTTGTAGTCCTTTCTGTACTTTATACCTGAGATGAAAAGTACTTACCACTAGCCATTTCAAAGGATAAGTGGACAAATTTTCTGAGGTCGTGTCCTCAAGGCATGGAATTTCTAAAGTCTGGTTTAACCACACTTTCTTCAGGTAGTGCTGCTCCTCTTTTATCATTGTAACAACAACAAAAAGCCCAAGAAGGAAAATCAGAAACATGATGTTCATTGTGCTTTGAAAACCAACACTGACTAGTCTTCTGTTCAATGAACAGACACTTTTTTGATTAGAATGGAACTGTAATTTTCAGCCATTACCAATAGACACATTTGTTAAGTGAAAGCCCTACATCTGATTCTAGATGTAGTTTCATGACTCAATTCACAGCTTTACCTGAATTTTTGGCAATTCCTACAAAAGCTTTTCTTAACTGCAGGATCAAGATGTCTCCTTTTCGAGCTGAGAATAATTTGAAGCTTCAATTTTTCTCTAACAATTTTTTGTTTCCTGCGGCAATAAACCTTCACATCAATTTTGTCCACCCGTATTTCGTTTTCTCTGAAGATATCTGCAGACCTTCTTTTCTCTAAGCATGGTATTCAGCATGTCAGTCAGGTTAAGAGTAACCCCCTTTTTTCAGTGTAACTGCTCCTGGTTTTATTCTCCAATCTGCCCACTTCCAGAAGCAGAAAACTTGTTACTCTTTCTTATCCATTTGAAAAGGCATTTCAGCATTTCCTATCCTACCCATTCCCAGCCCAGGGCTCCAGCCCAGCTGTGGGAGGGCGGAGTGGTGCACTGGAAAGAGCACAGCTGTGGCTAAGAAGTGGGGTGCATGTGTGCACTCAAACAGGAAGAGCAGAGGTGATGGGCTGGAGGTGCCACGAGTGGTGTGGTCAGCACTGGCCTCTCTGACCCCCAGCTGTGCAGTGGATGATAGTGTGGTGCTGCCTGCTGTGCCATCCTCCCTGCCACAGCCTGCTGTGACATCCTACCTGCCTGCTGTGACCTGCCTTCCCTCTTCCCTGCAGGCAGGCACCAGAGCACACCGCAGGGAAACTCTTCAGCTTTGCTCCCCTGGTAGCTCTGGTCTGCATGTTGAGATGGAGTAGATATGTATTTCTTTTATTTTTTTATCTCAGGGGGAGTGAGAATATCTAGCTGTCCTGGACTGTCGCGTTATTTCTCAGTGGGGACTTCACAGTGACTGTAAATTCCTTTGTATCTGGTACGCAAGCACAGAGCAACGATGCCAGCACACAGCCTGTGCCACAGGGATGTGAAGAAAGGCAGTGCCCAGAGTTGTGACCAGGAAACCCAGTGGCAGAAGCAGCTTTCCTGCACAGTCCACCAGAGTGAAGCAGCTGAGGAGCCAGCTCTCACAGTAGGACGCAGAGTGCAGAAGCCCTAAGGGGCTGGATAATGCAGAAAGGATAAGACAAGGACAAAAGAAGCAAATCTATAGCTTGTCCAGGAAGAAAGCTGCACAGGAGACTTTGTTGGGACAATCTACCACGTAAAAGTGCCGTGAAACATACAACAAGTACAGACATGAGTGGTCACCCCAGAAGTTCAGCCTGCAAACAGTCTCTGCCTGTTCTTACAGTCACGTCCCAGCTGCTTGTTTCCCACTCCCCCATTTCTGTTCCTGTCTCCATTAACAGCCTGTTGGTTAAGCTCCTCTGTGTTTGCCTGTCCTATGCAGGCCTGCTGCTCTACAGGCTTTTAGCAGTATCTACAAGCTGAATCCATCTGGATTCACTTCAGTTTGACGTAGTTGGAAACTACTTCGTCAGTGACTAGCACCCTTATCCACTCCACTCATAGACTGGATTAAGGGGGTTTTGCCTTCTTTTGTGTGGAAGTGGTTCATTGCAAAAGATCTGGTTACCTTAAAATACAAACCTGCAAGAGGTAGCAAACTGAATTTTTTAGTTCTCTCTAGCAAACAGCTATTGGTATCACAGCTTGCTACCTCAGGTAGCTACAAAAAAAAGCCACAGCGATGCTGATATGAACAAGAGCTGCCCACGCTTAACACATAGATGGCAATAACAGTGTTGAACATGCTCATATCAACCAAGGGCACCAGCAAGAGAAAAGGAGCAATGCCTGATTAGCACTGTTATTGTGTTAAGAAAGAGACAGAGAACACATGGTATGAGGAACAGAAACACAGGAGGGTTTCACAGGGTTACCAGCACTGTACCTCACTGCACTCCCCTTGATCCAATTGCTCTGCCCTGTGAAGCACAGGAAAATTCCCCAAGAGGAACCTACCATAGCACACCCCTGTACAGCGGGTGGAGCAGCAGATTTATCTTTGGCATGGTTATCCAACGTGTACTGTTTAAACACACCCATCCTCTGTGGCTTGTGCAGAGGTGCTGGCTCTCATTTTGCCCCTGTGGGTTCATCAGGGCAGGAAGGTTCTGCAGGGTTGCCCGAGGTGTGTCTTCAAGATAAAAGCACGGAAATGCTTGGAGCCACTGCCATGCAGGGGCCATCAGGGAGTGAGGGTTAAACATTCCTGCATATTAGTCTTGCACAGAACCTCCTCCTGCTGCAGGACCAGTGTGATCCAGCATGGGAACCAACGTCCCTCCTGCCACCAGTCTGGCCTCATCATGAAGGTAAAAGGGCAGTAGGAGCAGAGCTGCCCTTTGCTACCCTTAAAATAACCTGCACCCACCCTGCTCCTAACCCTTGAATGTTTGCTACACCAACAGCCCTGGGCAAAAGCAGAGTGAGCATGTTGGCCTTACAGCTCTGAACTGAAACCGTGCCGGGTTTGTTGCATTTACTTTAATCCTGCTTGGGTTGTTAGCAGAAACCTGGGTCAGGGAGAGGTTTCTGGGGTCATCAAATCCAGTCCCCCATGTGCAGAACAGCAGGCTTGTTCAGTGTCCCTGCCCAGTTCCATCTTCACAGCAATTTGGACTTTTGCCCTCACTGCTGACACTAAATAGCTGTTCCCAATGTTGCTGCACTAACAATTGCCACTGTTGTTTAATTTGTAGTCAAATCCATTACCGTCTATTTAAATCAATTTGCTCCTTTGCTGGGATAATTTAAATATCCTCCCTAGAGTTCACACACTCCCCTGAGGCTTACTTACCGAGAACAGTCATGCTGCTTTACAGCTTTCTTTTGGCTGACAGAAGCAGCCAAGTCTCTGTTCCTGTGATTGTCCTAAGCAATCCCCTGTTTTGCTCCAGTGTGTTTTTGACAGTAGGGACATTGAGCTAACACCCAGCATGCCCTGCAGAGCCCAGCCCTCAGTCTGAACCAGATAATGGTGTTTTCTCTTTCTGGTGCCCAGTGCTGCACACCCTTAGCAGCAGCACAGCACGGTTTGGAGATGCACCATCCTTGGTCCCGCCATATCCTGAGCTGCTCATCCAGTGTTCTCCACGGCATGTTTCTCCAAAATAAAAATGCAGAAACTTCCCATCTCAATACCTTTTTGGCCTTGCTTCATATTCCTCCAAACAAATAAGGTTTCCTAATCACGAGCTGGATAACAACAACTAAAGAGGGCCTGGTAAACAGGGAACTGTAGCAGCGACATTCTATGGCACCACTGCAAACTCCAAACAGGTCACCATCACCGACCAAGAAATGTTCGTCTATCCTGATACTCTCCCCCACCCCTGTAAGGATAAAGCAACATCTCCTTCATCATCACTTACCTTCTGCCTTGACAATAAGTTGAATTTTTGCAGCCTTTGTCCCATATGGGTAAGTAGCAAAACTGCACTTGTACTGCCCACTAAGGGTGACGGTAACGTTTTTCAGATGCAGAGCCCACTGGTTGCATTCAGACATGGTGTTTGGATTGGTGGAACACAAAGATTCTGTGACATCCTGGCTGCAGCACTTCCTAGTGCTGAAGGACACCGAAAAATTGTAAGAAGCCTCAGAAAATTTGAAGTAATGAGTGCCATAAGTGGGATGATAAACAGCTATTTTGGCAGAATGGCTGTCTTCAGTCTTGGACCACTGTGTCTGTATTATGTGGGTGGTGTGCGATTTTGGGAAGAGACACACCAGGGTCACATCAGTACCTGGCAGAGCGCGGACCACTTCTGTTTGGGTAATGACGTCTCTAGACTGGCCTTAAAAACAAACAGGATCATTTTCAGTGCAAGTAATGTTTAAACAAAGCTTTTCCTAAGCCGTCTTCAATATGATTTGGTGCCTTAGACACAGACAACTGTGAAGACCCTACAACTGTAACTATAGGCTTTCCAGGGAGGAGTTTTACAGCAAATTTCCACCATTACAGACTGCAGAGAGAGAACTGGGGAAGCAAATGCATGCACATCTAGAAGAGCGCAGAGGGCTCCTGTCACGCTTGTGGGAGAGAAATGGGAGCTCTGAGGGCCTCTGTGAAAATGGAAATCTTTCAAGTAATATAAATAAAGCAGAAACTGGGCCCAGTTATTCCCCCGCTCTTTTTGCAAGAACAAATGAGTTATCCCTGCTGGCTAATTCTGCCCCACACCGGCTCTCCCGCCCATTGCCTTTGCCTTTGCTGCTTTGGCAGAGAAAGCTGTTCCTTTTCCTCCATGTTATTAAACATCTCCTGCATGCCCTAAACGAGTGCCTGTCTCAGTGTCAGAGTGAGTTGCCCTGGTATGTATGGTTTCTTCCTCAATTAATTTCATAAAGCAGGTGGCAGTCCTTAGTGTGCCATATAAAGGAGTAATGGATCGATGAAGTGAAGGGGCTTTCAGCAGGAGCCTGTACTACTTGGTTTAGCTGCTGCTGTAATAAAATTGATTTATCTCCCTTTCTCCCTCCTATGAGTAAGTCTTGCAGTCCCCAAACTCCTGTATGCAGGATACTGACAAACTCAAGGAGATGAAGAATTTATGGATGGGGGAATCATAGTGAGACAAGTAATCAATCACACCCACAGAGCCATATACAGGAAGTCCCTTTTCTAAAAGGGCATGCAGGTCCACAGAAAAAATGAACTGTGCAATTGCTCTTAGATATAGACTTGTCACCCCCCTTCTACATTGGATTTTATCCTCCCTGTGTATCATAATATCAATGTGTATTTGCTTTGGGAATTTGCCCTGCAGTCCCACCAGGCACACTGCAGGCTCCCCACGGCAGCAAGTGCCCACTGCTCGCCTCCTTCACCTGAAAAAAGTGCGTACTCATTTCTTTGCTTTGACATGTGCTCTGCCATGTGGTGCAGGGCTCTGGGGCACATAAGCCAGGGCACGCCCTGTCAGAGGTCAGGCAACCTTGATGGTGCCTGCAGTGTGCTCCACACTCTGCCAGCTCAGCCAGGAGCAATACAGGGACCCAGTGCACCATCAGCTCTGATTGGACAGGGAAAAGGAACAAGGGCAGGGTGCCACATCCCCACAGAGGTGGCTGAGATTTGGTACCGATCCACTGAAGTGTGACATGGACACGTAGAGCTTGGGTGTGGGGAGAACAAAGCTACTGAATGGACATGGCTAACATTAATCTCTGTTGTTTCATTGCTGCACTTGCTCTGTTCATCTTTTAGTTGTGTTCAAAGAGATGGGATGAGGTAAGAGGGTAAATAAAAACTAGCCCGAATGACAAGTGTTGTGAGAAAAATTACTGAAAACTATTTTTGTCAGTCCAAGGAGATTATTATAGGACATGCTCACTGATTTCACTGCAAGTTTTGCACCAGTAAAAGTTAAGGATAAAAGCAATTAGCAATCTTATGATCAGACTACAAGGCAAAAGACACATAACAAGCTTACTCTCATATTCATGCTGGTGCTGTATGAGGTCAAAGGATCATGTAAAGAATGTCTATGAATAATCACTTGAGTAGTTTATATTAAGATGAAAAAGTTATATATGTAGAAACAACATTTTAATTTGTGTTATTTGTTAGTAGCCTAGCATGTTAGGTTACTTTAACTGAAACCCTTTCATGCAAAAGTGTTCTTAACTTTTTGTTAGCATCTCAATATAAGCACTCTCATTTTATGTCACCTTTGTTTTTCCAAATCAAATACTGTCCAATAGCTCATACTTGTACTCCAGTTGAAACCTCCTGGAGTAACTCACAGACATTTAGGTGTCTGACCTCTACAAAGGGCATGGTGGTGTCCACTTTCACCTTAGAGTGACTTCAGTGAGGATTTCATCCTGAGGGGAAAAAAAACCCAAGTCCTATTTTTCTCTAATTAGTATTGCTCTCCTACATGTGTATGTCTTGAGGCTTCTATTTCTTTCTTTGCATTTGAGAATTTCTATTTTCTATGGATACACATATTAATTATTTTTCCTTTCTTTTAAATCCAGTTTGCCTCAGTGATGAAGAAAACAGGAACAGGCTATGTCAGATTCTGAGATGCATCTTACCATGCCAGTCAGATACATGCAGTTTTTCCTTTATTAACTGGAAAAATGTGTATCCTACAAGCTGATAATAAGTATTCCTGCATTGTGCATGATCAGACTTTTGGGGGTGGTAGGTGGAGGGTGTTGAGAACATGAATTTTTTTCTTGGTTTAAACTCCCTCTAACAGGGATGCAGCCCTCCTTACTCTACTTTTCTGAAAGTTTTGCTCTGATGACAAACTTGTTTCTCAAGCCTTTAACACAGCACACAGAGCTGGGAGAGGAAGGAGAAGGGAAGACTCTATTTAAAGGTTTGCAGCTGTACAATTTACCCTTGCCTTGCAGTGTTTCAATTCTTCCTCTCTCTGCATACACAAGTGTGTCTGTGTGAGAGAGAGAAAGGTGGTGTTTGGTTTTTTTTCCTCAGTGGAAGCAGTTTTCCTTTTGGCCCATTCGAGATGAGCACACACTGCCCTAAGTACACATGAGCTGATCTCATTTACTATTCTGGCAGGTTAGGCAATTTGAATGAAGTGATCTGCTAGTCAGCACAAGCCATTTACTCCTTACTAGTTGCACATTATAACTAGGGTGATTAGAAAGTTGTCAGGAAACAGTAAATCATTGCCAGTAGCCATGAGACACACTAGTGAGACACACTAAGCCCAGCCTGCTCCTCCCCACCCTCCATCACAAAATGAATCAAAGTATCCCATGGATACTCCTACCTGTGATGCTGGGCACCCAGAGGAAACAAAAGAGACAGAAGAGCCACCTTTTTTCCATCTTCACTTGATGAAGTTCTGGTAAATATGTATCTCTCTTGGTGCTCCTGTCAGGGACTCAGAAAAGGAAGTTGAAATGGTCTGCCCCGTGCAGATGTGCAACATAGTCACTTAGCGTGACTTCAAAGAAATGCTTCATTAAATGTGAAAGCCTCAGTTTCCTGCCAGAGTGATAAAATTAGTACATCTTGTGAAACCTTTAAGTTGAAAACATTGTCTACATTGCAAGCCCACATTGTAGACCAATTTTTTTCTCTTTGTCTTTTCAGATAAATTCAGAATAAGCAGTTTAGTGGTTTACATGCTCTCAAAAACATGTCAAGTGTCTAAGGTTGAATAAATAACTTCTTTGAGATATGATTTAGGGGTGATTATAATGGTGCTAGGTCAGTGGTTGGACTTGAAGGTCTATTCCAACGTTGATGACTCTGTGTTTTCTGCGTACTACATGGTAGCTGGCATACAAAAAACCCCACTTTTTTCCCCCCAGCTTCATTTTCTTCACATGTTAGTCCAGAATATCTCAAATATATTATTTCTAGACTCTCTATACTCAGTATCTTTAAAAACCCCAGCAAAATAACAAAACCAATCCCCCTAAACTATTATAGAGTGAATTGAGAGTTTTCTACATTCACATTTTTTTCCTTTTCGTTCCTGAGAAGCCCATTAATTATTTCCTGCAAGATGAAGAATTACAGCATCACACACGGCAACATCCCTTGGTGTGGTTAACCCCTGCACCGTCCTTCACCTGTCAGCTTTGGTAATGGCAGCACCCTCAGGCAGAAAAGCATGGTTCCTGCCAGTCCTGTCACCTGTCCTTATTGCAGGTCACCTGTACATCCTTCTGAGCTGTCCTCAAAGCATGCTGCATTTCCATGAGCTAGGCACACACCTGCCAGCAAAGCACCTCATTGCAGGCAAGTCTTATGCAAACTGGATCTGCTGCTGGCAGCTTTTCAGAAAGAAACAGGTTTGAGTTCCTGCTTATCGTACTGCTTTCCCCAAAACCAAAAAGAGAAGGGCAGGACACCTCATATACACAGTGTAGACATACAGTACTTGCTGGCTCCTCCCGAGGTGGGATGGGTGTGTGGCAGGATAGCCAGGAAGGAGGTTTTTTGCCCCTGATAGCTCCATTCTTGGGGGACCAAGGACAACCCACTCTTGGGATTTTGGGAGAGAAATGATTACAGTCCATGCACCAGGGCAGAGAAGACAAGTGTCACAGTCCCTTAAACAGGCTATTGTCTCTACAAGCAGTGCCCTCTCTTGGGTGGCTGGTCCATCCCTAAGTCATCTGGGTCCTGGCATGTCTTTTCCTGACTGTCAACATTTGCTCACTATGGAGCTCCCCATTGCTCCAGGATGCAAAGTACAAAGTGAAAAAGGAAGTCCTCACTAGTCATTTCCCTATTTTGTGCACTACCAGATGTAAACAGCATCAATACTGCTTCCCTAATTTGTGTGCATACAATGTTTTGGTTGCATGTTCAGCTGGGATAAGGCTGGAAGGGCTTATCCTTCCAGCTCAAGCTGGAACAGATAATAGTGCTGGAGAGGCTGCAGTCAGGGCTCCACACTTCTTGGAGGATAAATGCTTCTGCACAGTTTCTTGTTTTGCTTCCTCTACCTGAGAAAATGCACTAAAAGCAATTGTAGGAAATGCACTGGGTGCCCTGGTTACTGCTTGGGTGCCCTGGTTACTACTAAAGGAATTGTCCCTGGGGAGGAAATCTCTGCTTGTCATTCAGAAACCTGAGAAAGACCTGTCCCAGAGGATTAACAAGTCCTGAAGTTGAGGGTGAACTGAATAGTCAAGCCATTGCAATTGACAGCCACAGAAGGGAGTAAAAATATTAAAGAGATATGTTCTGGTTTCCAGTTCAGAGCAGAGACCACAAAGAACCCAGAGATTTCCTGCAGATACTGGAGTCCAAGAAAACTAGACTTTAATCTAAAATTTGGGCTTTCATTCATGATTGGAGTTACCTTTACTTCTCCTGCTGATCAGGTCATGTAAGCTTTGTACCATGAGAGAATATATTTTGTGTAACACAGAGAAAAACAGTCTTAAATGAGCCCTTTTATTGATCTGAAATATGCATCCCAATTTGACAAGACAGCCCAAGTGCTGTGTGGCATATTCAATAGCCACAGAAATCCCTGAGCAGCTTTTTCAAGTTACTATATCCCTGTATGTTGCCCTTGGAATTTGTTCACCCCGTAAAATAATATTCTAAAAATATACTGCTGCCACGTTACATTGTGTTGGTTGAATGCAGCCACCCAGCGCCGTTGCTGCGCTTGGTGATGAAAGACAGACAAGAAAGAAATCTCTCAGCTCGATGGATTTTTGTTCAGTTCAGAGCTGAGTTTTGCCCCAATTCCTGCCTTAAGCCCAGATTCTGAAACAGGCATTCACCCTGCTGCTGACATTCATGTGCATGAAGAGCTAAGCCCTACCTCTGCCTATGACATCAAAAACCACTTCTGAGACACACCACTTAGCCTGCTGGCAGGGAGACTTCTCTTCCCTGGAGCAAGACTTGAGGTCCTGCTCACAGCAGGGCAAATTATTATAAGAGCTTCTTCCCCCACTACCACTTTCCTGAAAAGTTACTCACAGGCAGCTTTGTAGGTGCCACAGCTGGATGTCACACACCAGGTTATGGATGGCAGGGATGAGAGGTGGTACTGAAACATGCCCAGGGACAGCAGACTTTGTTGGTAGCTGGAAGAAGTATATCTCTCTGTATTCGGCTTTTCCTTGGTGGGGCAGCTACAGGGATGAGTGTCTCAGCATTGGGATGTGCAGATTTTTCCTGCTGTTCAAGAGAAACTCAGAAATCACTGCGAGGCTGGGAGGTTTTAGAGGAAAAGAAGCTGTGCCCAAGCAAGTGACATACCTTGTCAGTGGATATGTGAACCACAGCATTTTCTTTTGGGCTGGACAAGCCTGGATGTTAGTCCCCTGTGTCCCAGGCAGTGGCAGGAACTGATGGGCTCTGAGTATCACCCAGGATGGGTCCCCAGCAGTGCATTGCAGCACGGGGCTCTCCCCGCTGCACAGGGACACTTCATGCAGCATTAATTATTTTCCCCTTGTGTGGGAGTGGGGGGTGGCAGTGGGGGATCCTCTAATTATTTTCTGCAGATCCGTTTGCTACTGGAGGAGGCATTTGGAACACTACAAATGACTCTTTCCATGGCAATCACTGTATTATGCATCGTGCTCACAAAACCCGCCACTGCAATACAATTTTTCTGCCTCAATTACAGTAAGTTGTAACTAAGGAAGAAGCAAAGCTGCAGTCAGTCCCACAGAAAAAGAAATCTTGCACTCCAGAGACAAATTCAATTATTCACAAAGAGACCCTTTTCAGAAATGCTAGTGCGAGAGCTCTTCCTGCCAGAGGCGAGGATGATTACCCTTGCAGACTCGTGTCCTCTAAACATTGCTTAAAGAAAGCGCTGGTCCCTGGTGAAAAAGAGATGGAGACTTTGAAGCAGGAATTTCATTAAAGAGTAAACTAACCTTTCAGGTTCGCTTGGCACTTGGCACAGAAACTCCCACTTCATCACTGTGTTTTGGTTTTGAACCTCTTTGAAACTCGCGCTAATGACTCTGTAGCTGGTAGGCACCTTTGACCACAGCACCTCGCAGGGGGTTGGATGAGTGTGTGGCATGGCCTGGGAGGGTGTGTGGGTGCAGCATTTCGGGGGACAGGGCACTGAGGTTGCAGTGGGATATCCTCTGGTCTTTTCCAGTGACCCCCTGCTTCCTCAGTCTCCCCTTCCCACCCTTAGCTCTGGTGCCTCTCTCCAGCTTGCAGCACTGCCTCTTCTGCATGGGGGAGGAGAGGGAAGAGGGTTTCTCACTCTGCATTCTCCTCGTACTCCTCCTCCCTCATGGCTGCACACCTACACACTGTGTTTGACACAGTGCAGCCCTGGTTCCAACTGGGCTGTTGAAGCAGCACAGCGAGACACACGCACTTCCCGCTCAACAGCAATTTGAGAGATGTTAAAAGATCTGAGTGGACTTTTGTTCCCTACTCCTTCACTGACAGCTCAGAGTATGGGAGAAACCAAGAACAGCTCAGCCTTGGATGCCTCCCTGCTCCACCTTCTAATTAGTTTTTCTAATTAGAAGGCCTAACTTACAGGTCATGTTTCAGAGAAAGAGAGCATAAATGAGCTCCTTCACTTTTTCTGCCATTCCAGCCAGAGGTCCCTGTGGTCCTCTGCTCCCATTTAATCCCATTTCTGGTCAACGACTGCCCATCAGGGACCATATGAAAGCCGTCAAGCATTTCATGGTGCAAAGTGCAAGTTACTGAAAAAGCAGAATATAAAGTTGCAACCAATGAACAAAACGAAAGAAATATAAAGCACATTGACCCAGCAACTACACACCAATGCAAAACCACTGTGTGAAAGCCAGCCAGCCATTTCCAACACAATTAAAGACTACAGAGCCATTATTTTCAAAATTAACTGGAAGGCTCATGTGAGACCAGCCCTGCTTTCTTTGGTCTCTTTCTCTTTTCCAGATACAGCACAAGCTGTGCTTTCCCCCCCCGTTTTGCACAACATCAGCTAAAGGCTTTTCACTTGCACATCTCATTTTCCATGTTCTGTGATGAAATGTTTCGAGGTAGGTTCATAACGGTGTAACAAAATGTAATGGCACCCATAGCTTTGAAAAAGGAGTTACCTGCTGCTGGGAAACACCTGCTCATGTTAGACTACAAGGTTAAGGTTTCTGTTGAAGCTTCCTAGAAGGCCATGTCATCCCCTGGTCGCTTTGGCAGTGGTTTCAGAGGCAGTGCTTGGAGCAGCTTTTGTGGATCATGCCAGTAAGAAAGAACAGGAGTCTGCTTGTGAAAAGCCTTTTTGTAGACACAGCTTGTGGGGCTTCATCTTGAGGTCTGCATGACAGAGGGAGTTATCAAGACAAGCAACAGACTACTTGGTCAGAACTGAAAAGCTTAAGTTCACATCCAAAGTGGTATAAACCTAGACGGGTTGTACAGCTCATTTT